TTGAGAACCACTGCCTTAGCTGGACTACATCACCCATGAACATGGCCAGGGGCTGAAATGATGCAACCACCTCTCCTCACCAGGAAGGCAGACCATGGTGCATCATGGAAGACGTAGTCCAACTGGGGAGCCTAGCTCATACAGGAGAAGGGGAACATGAAGCACTGAAACTGCAGTGCCCATATCAGTTTTCCAATCAGCTCTGTCCAACCCTTAGTGCTGCTTGGGATTCTAGTGACTAATGTTATTCTCCTTCCCTTTGAACTAGGAAAGGGTAGCCAGATGCAGAATAGCTACAGCTGCTTGTCTCCAAAATTTAAAGGAGCTAAATGGAGCTACCATGATGGGAAAGGTTCCAAGAAGAGGGTGAACTTACAGGGCAGAGATTCAGAAGTTACATAAGAATGGCCATACTGGGGCAGACCAAAGGTCCATCTAGAGTGACCAGATAGCAGATGTGAAAAATCGGGACAGGGGGTGGGGGGTAATAGGTGCCTATATAAGAAAAAGCCCCAAATATCGGGACTGTCCCTATAAACTCGGGACATTTGGTCACCCTAGGTCCATCTAGACCAGTATCGTGTCTTCCAACAGTGGCCAATGCCAGGTGCCCCAGAAGGAATGAACAGAAGAGGCAATCATCAAGTTGCCCATTCCCAGCTTCTGGCAAACAGAGGCTAGGGACACCATCCCTGCCCATCCTGGCTAATAGCCGTTGGTGGACCTATCCTCCATGAACTTACCTAGTTCTTTTTTGAAGAACCGGAAGTTACCAGGCAATCGAAAAGAAATCTCCAGCTCTAACATAGCACATTTTCTGAGGGCCAGTGGTTTGGGCAGAGGACATGCTCAGGTTTTCAAAACTGGAAGTGGGCATGTTTGAAACAACTGTTTGTTTTTCCTTGATACTATGTCACCGTAAGGAAATGATGAGGAGGGAAGGCAATTGCTGATCATAATATCTGCCTTTTCTGTGCTGATTTTTACAATTGCAAGTGCAGCTTAGAGGGTCCTTGAATAGAAGTTATTGGGCTTGTGGCATTTACCAGCCTTACTGGATTACTAGTTTAGGGGTTGCTGCTCCTCTAGCTGAACTCAGTGGAGCGAAACTGATTTACACCAGCGGAGGTTCTGGCTCCATAATTTCAACATTCCGAAGAACAGTAATATGAATTATGACACAATCCAGCAATAACCAGAAAACAAAGTTATTTCACAATCCCCATACTTGCGTCAAAGGATCATGCTTTCTCCATAGTGGCCTTCGTCGAGTGTGAGTTTTAATTTTTCATTTCTCTCTTAAGTGTGTATCACCCTCTAGCCCAGTCTGAATATAACTTGTGGGGCCATTTTATCAGTGTGTTATTTTTAGCGCATTATTAAGACAAAGAGGCACAATAAGAACCAACGGATTGCAGCACTTGACCTAATTGTTCTATGTAACCTTTTCCCTCTTGTGCTGATAATTGTCAGTGCAGTTCTCGAGAGGCAAAGGTAACAGGATCATAGTTCACGCTGACGAGGCAGGGTATAAGAAAAGTGCTACTGCACTGAGAGCGCAAGAGGAGTGTGTTTCACTTTCAGAAGAAAATGAAGAGAAATATGAGAACCTCATTTGGACTTTCACGTCATGTGGCTACAATGCTGGTAGTAACTGGCACCTGAGAAGACCTTGTTTAACAAGCACCCTTAAGCCTGGGTGACCTATATGATTGCACACACTCCTTACGCTTCCAGGGACATCCCTCCCCATGTTTCTCAGTGAACCCAATTCCTTATTCACCATTCCCTCTGATTTCTGTGCCAAGAGGCTTGTGGCAGAGATTCAGGGCCAGATCCACTTGTAATCACAACAACCAATTGGCTAAGAATTGCATACAGCCTGTTACAGCCCCCCCTCCATACATGAGTCCTATCCACATGTCTTTTAGCTTTTACAGTCTTTGGGGCAAGGACTATGGCTTTTTATATTTGTACAGCACTTCGCACAATGGGGCCTGGACCTTGTTGGTTTCTAAGTGCTACTAGAATGTAAGTGTTAAATAATGGTTAATAATAATCCACAGTTGGTGCAAGTTATCATGGCTCCTGATTTACACCAGCTGAGGATCTAGTCCTGATTCCTTAACTAAGCCCCAAACCCACTTCTCATAAGGAAGTCACGGATCTGGCTCTACCTCCTGCTCCAGGAGTAGCTGTGGACTGAGTTCTAACTTCTGAGCAAGCAGAGTTTTTATATTAATGTGCACAGGAGAAAACCCCTAAGCGAATGTAAAAAGGATCTTTGTATTTCCACGTCATGCCTTGTTCTGAATGTCTTTTTAATTAGCATAATTGATAACAGTACTTTCAATCTGGCAAAAAAATAAAACAGAATTAGTTTGATATTTGATAATGTACTTTAAGGCCACCTTCCTATCTTCTTTCCTTTCACACTTTGGGGTGTTAGTCAGAGCCCTGCTGCTTCTGGATATTAAGGTAACAGAGTAGTGCAGAGTGGGTTTTTCCCCCCCGCACTTGTGACTGGAGATAAGGTAGCAACCTTTTTTCTCTGATTGTCACCACAGGAGTGGATTGGTGCACAATGTGGGCTTGATCCAGCAAACACTTACACACGTGAGCAGCTTTACATATGTGAGCACTTGTGCATTAGTGTGAGTACTCATGTGTGGGGCTGCCATTTCAGAGTACTTCAGCTACTGCAGAATGCAGCTCTCTACTTGTCTAGTGAAGCTTCTCTCATGTAACACATTACATGCCTGCGCCGTGGTCTACTCTGGCTTCCATTTTGTCTCCTGGTGCAACTCAAGGCTTGCGTTAGACTTATAAAGCCTTAAATGGTGTGGATCATCTGGCCTACCTTAGAGATTGCCTCTCTCCTCAGGGGACTCTGCTGTGTTGCCTCCTATCCAGTGTAAGTGGGTGAGGGCTGCTGGCTGGGCAATTTCAGTGAGGGGTTCCTTGACTGTGGAGTTCATATGGCCTCTTGGTGTTACACAACCCTGGGTGTTTGTGCTTCTAGGCTTTTGACAAGAGAATGGGTCAAGATGGGCAGAGGCAACTCAGGAGGTGGAAGTGATTAGTTTTAGGGGGTTGGATGGGTGTGCAAGAGATTTTTAAAATTGATATTGACATTGGATTATGCTGTAAATTCTATGTACTATCCGATCCTATCTATATTCTTATAATGCCCTCACCACTGTAGTATCTGGCCTCTAAGTTTTGTTTGTGTGTTCATATTGCACATGGGGTGTGGTTGATCAATGAAATAATGTACATATTCACCCGAGGTAGGCTCTATTCATTGTTTAAGTGTGCGGATGTGCACAGAGGCAGCAAATGGAGCATTTGTGTAGCAGAGGGGGGATCTCTCCACATGTGTGCTGCTAAGGGGTGTGGCGTGGTCTCTTGCCAGCCCTGAATAAGCTTGAAGACTGGGTAGTGGGGGACTTGAAGACTGGGTAATAGAATCCTTAATTAACATGAATCCTGTGGCCAAGACTTTCTGTGGCGAGGTAGTAGCCATTATTCCAGTCCACGGAGAGGCTACATTAAAGTCCTGGGGCATACCCATGGGCTGTGGGACTGAATTCTAACCCTCTGAGCCCATGGAGATATCCACGCAAAGCTCGATCATTTTAGCTTTGTGCCTGGCTAAGGTAGGAGGGAGGGGGAAATTTCAGTCTAAATATATATCACCTGCCTACCTACAACAGTTCTGCACAAAGCACCCGTGTACTTATTCATGCATAAAAAGTCTACACCAACTGCTCGCAGAGCTAGCACTGAATGAAAACATTGCACCAGATACCCTTGTATATACATGTGTATCACAATGCTGCACCAAGTACTTGTGACTTTTCTAGAGTATAGCAACACTGCACTAAATATCAGTGTTCCCACACATCTATAATAATCCACATTTCAAATCTGCAGAACTGTCTTTGTATTTAACATGTGTCATCATCTGCAAACTTAACTGTAAATATGCACAGGAAAAACTATATTTGGTTTTTAAAACATCATCTGAGAGGAAAGAAGCAGAAACAGAAAAGAAGGGTGTTTTGAAGAGAAAGGAGAGATAAGAAATATGGGGTTAGGAAGAAGTATGTGGTGCAAGAAATTGGGGGGGAGAAGGTTAGGCCTACATATTGACCTGCATGGGTGTGCCCCTTTGCCCACTTTCAGCCTCACTGACATCAGAAAATAATCAAAACAGTAGGTGCTTGGGTCGCCCCAATATTCTGAGGAACCTGATGCATTTTCCTGCATTCAGAAGACTTTAAACATCTCAAAACAAAGATCTGAGACACACAAAACATAAATATATTTCCCTAGAATCCTGGAGATTTATTTCTGGGGCAACAACGGGGTCTATGAAGGCACAGGATTCCCCCATGAAGTTGTCCATGTGGGTTTGGGGTCTGAGAAGAGTTTAAAAATGTGTTTTCTAGAAATTTTACAGCAAATGAAGCTACAGAATAATTAGACTTCCAGCATGCCTGAGAAATTTTTTTTTTTGGTCTTTGTGTCTGGAGGTTTTGTTTTGAAATGCACTAATCTTCTACATGCAGGAAACTGTGCCAGGTTTTCCACAATATTCTGGGAGCTAACAGGATCAGGCGGGCATTCACTGCTTTAATTATAAACCATGTCTCCCTGCTAGTCAGAACTAAATGTTCACACAAGGTTCTCCTGGATGTAAGATGCTGGCAATTATAGCATTTGCAGGTACCATGCTTTTGATTTTAGGATATGTATTTTCTTTAGACTGGGATTTTTTTAAAAGTTTCTTTTCATTTAACAGTTTTTTCCCTCCTGTTCTCATCGATGGACAGTTGTTATTTAACTGTGCCTCTTTTGATCAGTTTCTCGGTGTTCTGCACTCTCAGAACCGTTTGCTTTTACCCACAACAAAAATGGTTTCCAGCCATCCGCTGGTAACCCATTGATCATTAGCAAACATGAGCCCCCAACTACTTCCTGTTTGGCTTTCATGCCCTCAAGAAAGATGGCTCATGCACTTCCAGTTCAGGAGCTGCAGCTCCCAGTTTTTTCTGCTTCAACTGTGTGAGTATAACAACGACAAGCTAATCAGGGTCTGCTCCCTTTCCCCTTGCAGGCTGTCTCTATGGGATGGTGTCTGAGGATTACATGTTGCTTTAATGGTGTTAGCTGGGGTGGGGGTGCTGCATGGGGGTGCCAGTGGATTTGGGGTGTGGGGGTGATGTGAAGGTTTGGGAAACAAGGTGGGGGAGGTAATATATTTTATTGGACCGACTTCTGTTGGTGAGAGAGACAAGCTTTTGAGCTTATAGAGACAGAGCTCTTCGGGTCTGGGAAAGGGACTCCCAGCTAAATGCAAGGTGGAACAGATTGCATATTGTAAGGGGCCATGCAGAGTAGAGTGGCCTTAAGACTTCTCCACTCAACTTTGTCCTGTCTGGGGAGATGGGGGGCAAGGAGTTGGGGAATCTGAGTGAGTGACCAGCGGCTGCAGCAGGGTGTTGGCTAGAGGCTGGGGGATGTCTGTGTGTGGTTGGGGAGGGGGCTGGTAGAGCAGCACTGGGGCACGCAGGAGGAATGGATGGCTAAAGGGGGAAGGGTCCCCCTGCCCTTGGGGAGCTGTTACCGAGCCCTTTTCAGGGAGCATGTGAGAGCGGCTGGCAGTGAGTGCGGTCTGGGTGCTGTTCACCTGCCCTCTGACAACCCATCAGCCCTGCTGCCCCCAGACTGTCACAGCTTCTTCCTACAGCCAGGAGGCAGACAGACCTCTCCCAAGGCCTCGCCCCCAGCCAGCACGCAGTCACACCAAGTAGGGCCGGGGCCTCGATCCTGCGAGCCCGTCTGCATGCATAGACCAGTGCAGGCGCGGGGTCCCCGCTACCTGCTTTCAGGATTGGGGCTGTGGCAACTTATCCCATGCAAAACCATGCTCTTGAATGTCCCTAGAGCTTCTTTTTGCCAGAAGCTGGGAATGGGCAACAGGGGATGGATCACTTGATAATTACCTGTTCTGTTCATTCCCTCTAGGGCACCTGGCATTGGCCACTGTCGGAAGATGGGATACTGGGCTAGATGGACCTTTGGTCTGACCCACTGTGGCCGTTCTTATCCCTCCTCCACCCTGGCTGTGCTAGAAAGCCAGGCTTTGTAAATACCAGTGTGGGGCTGGCCCCACAGTGGAGCACTACAGGGCTTTGTACCATCAGTGGGGGCTGCACATCCCTGCTTGGAACCAATGGCTTGATATGAAGGCCTTTTTGCTCACTTTTGGTGTCCCTTGTTGCCTTTCCCTGGGCACTCTTCTCTGTTTTGCTTTTATTATAAGCAGGCGAGCCCTTAAACTGAAAATTAACATTACAAAACAAAGCTGGGGAAAGCATCTGTTAAAATACAGCCGCTGGCTTACACGCAGCGCTGGCGGACTGATAAATAAAGGAGCTGGGCCAAACATTTCAACCTCCTCCCACCCCCCCCCCCCAAAAAAAAAAAACGGACCCGTGTCTCATAAATTTTAGAAAAATGTATGTTTGTTTTACTGGCTCTAACAAATACTAATCGCAGAGACTGATCCCATCATAATATTCACAAGGAGTTCCCTTCCAGCTCACCTACCCCAGGGCTAGCCGTAAATTATGTTAATGCTTAAAGGGGTGGGTGGGTCTTTAATTTGGCTTGCTTGTTTCAGTGTTACAAGGAGACAGCCCTCGTGGGGGGCAGGACGATGCTCTGAATCAGAGTGTGCGTGAGTGTAGAAAGGCCAGGGGTAAGCACTGCTGGGACTGTCAGAGCTCTGAGGATGGGAGGATCTAGAGTAGGGGTGTCAAACACACCTGAGATAGCGGGCCTGATCCGATACTCTGCCGCTTATGCAGGCCACACCCAGCAAAAGTTATTAAAATAGAAATAGCCAAGAATAAGCCATGTTGGTAATGACCTACATTTATTTTACGCTTCTCCAGAGCCTCTTAAATGCTTCCAAGTGGTTCAACACCTGTACACAAGGTTTTGCTGGATTGCTGCACCGGAGTCTGGATTGTGGACTAACTCCCCCACATGGACCCTGCTGGCGCATGCTAAATGTTCCTTAGTGTGCGTTGATGTTGTCCTGTTTTTTATCAGGACTTCATCAGTGCACACTAGCAGGGTCTACACAGGGGTGTTAGAGCACAGCACACTGGTCTGCTCTACAAATCACACCCTGGTAGTGTGGACTCTGGGGTTGTGAAGACAAACCTGAATATTCACGGGAAGTCCACAGTCTGGATGAAACTGTTCTGCAGGCTAGATCCAGCCCATGGGTGTTACATTTGACCCCCCTGATTAGAGGCTGAGAACAGATTTTCCATTCTGTTAACAGCAGTGCATCTCCATTGAGATGAGGGGAATTATATGAGGTTAAGTAGAATAACTAAATGGGGAAACAGACTCTGGAAGGCCAATGAGTTTTATATCAATCTACACCAGCTGCTTGTGGACCTTGCAGTGTGTAAAAACATTACACCAAATACATTTGAATAGATGTGTATGTTATAATGCCGTACCACATGCCTGTAAATTTTGCTCTTTAGGTCAAGGACTGCCTTTTTGTTCTGTGTTTACATTGCCTAGCACAGCAGGGTCCTGGTTCCCAACTAAGACTCATAGGCCCTACAATAATATAAATAATAATATATTGAGATAGAACAACATTGCATCTGATACCAGTGTTCCTACACGTCTATGATGATCCACACTTAAAAGATAGGAATGCAGATTTTTAACGTTCGTCATTATCTGCATACTTTTAATATTCATTACAACACAGTTTTTTAAAATCAGCTGAGAGTAGAAAGGCAGAAACATACAAGGAGAGTGTCTTGAAGAGAAAGGAGAGAGGCAGAAATATGGTAGTCTTAGGCCCCAGTCTTGCATTGATGTGCCCACTCTCAGCTCCACTGAAGTGATAACAGTTTCTGTATTAACCTCTGTATTCACATGCTCATAATGTTCTGAAATATTCCTCTTTGGTATTGGAATTTCCCCTGCTTAGCTTCTGTCTGAAGATGGACTTCTTTCTTTCTGTCTTTCTTAGTTTGAGCAAAATCCTGGCAGTGACTTCAGAGTTATGAGGAGGTAAAAATGATTTTTTTTTTTTTTTTTACTATGGGAAAAATGTATGATTCTCCTATTTCCTTCTATTTTGTGGGAATAACAGAAAAACAGCTGAACTTTGAAACATCCACCTTGGGGCCTTTGCATCCTGCAGTGTGCTCAGCACCTCCCAGCTCTGCCCTGACTTCAGGTCAAGTTGTGGAAGTGCAAAGCCCCATAGAAACTGCTCTCAAAGTCTTGACCAGTCTCTTCCTGGCTAAATCTCAGGTCTATCCCAGACCACCTCATCCCTTGCACTTTCCTCTGCCTTTGACAGAGTTGATCATTCCTGCATCCTCGAATCCCACTTGTCCCTGGTTTCACGGAGCTTCTGGGTCTCTTCCTGCCTCTCTGGCCACCCTTTCCAGGGCTCCTTTGGCAGCTCTTTCTCCTCTCAGCTCCCACGTGCTATCAGAATCCCTTCAGGGCTGTGCTCATGGCCCTGGCCATGGTGTTCTTGGGTGACCTCCTCCACTTGCATGGGTTTAACGACCACCTCAATGCTAATGACACTCACAGATACTTCTCTGCTCTGAATTTAGTGCCGAGGGTTCACCTTGTGTCTCTCACGGTTTCATTTTGGATCGCTCGCCCTCATCTCATAACCAAGCTCCTAATCTCTTCCAAATTCTCTCCCCTACCTCCGTTCTGCATCATGGCTTCTAACTCCACCAGACCTATAACCTGGGGGCCACCTTCAACTCCTCCTTCTCCTCTCCCACCCAGGTTGTCTCCAAATCCTGGAGCTTTTCCCTCCATAACATTTCAAACAACTCTTCACCGGGGTGAAATCACTGGTCTCTAATCATCCTACTTCACTGCTCCAGTCTCCCCCTCATGAGATCTTTTGGATACCAACTTCAGCCTCCTCCGTCCATCTTGAATGCCCCAGCCCTGCATCACACAGACCCTGCGTGCTCCTTTCACTGAGTTTCTTTCTGCATTTCCACCCATCTATACCTGCTTTATCGCCTAGCACGAACATCTCTGTGCCTTCTGCCTTTATGTCTGGATTGCCCTTCCCAAGTCACTTCCCTCTCATTCAGATCCCTCCTCAAAGTCCAGATGGGTCCATGACATACTTCCTCATCTTATTATTGTCGCCCTTGTCTTTCGTTTCCTCTCCTCTTGTTTGTCATACATTAAGTTTAGATTTGTACAGTCATTGGGGCTGGTGTGATGGTCCAAATTTTTGTAAGTGACTTGTGATTTTAGGTGTCCAACTTGAGATACCTTAAAGGAGTTTGATTGTGAGAGAGGAGATTTCAGCAAACAGGTCCCTTTAAGGGGTCTCTGGTTGGACACCTAAAAACATTAGCTCCCTTTGAAAATCTTGGCCTATGTTTTGTGAGGTGGCTAGTCCAGTTTTTGTTTACTATTCATTATTTTTCAATCATATACTGAGAACTTGTTCTAACCAGGTTGTGCTTGGATTCAAAAAGTCTGATCTCCAACTTGGTCTGTCTTCCAAGTAAAATTAGGGATAATGATATTTGGGGTTAATATAGCACCTTGGATCATAGGATCTGGGAGTGCGTTACTGAGGTGGGCGTGCATTATCATCACCTTTTTACAGATGGGAAAACCGAGTTTCAGCGGCACGAAGGCCGCAATTTTCAGTACTGTGTTTGCAGGTTTCAGATTTTTGGTTTCTGACTCGAAACACCTTGGCTTTCATTTTTCAGAAGTTCTGAGCACCCACATCTCCAATTGAAGTCAATGGGAGCTGCAGATGCTCAGGACAAAGTTGTCTCAAATTGAGACATTGCCAGTAAGTGGCCAATCCTTGAAAATATGGTTGCCAGTGACAGTGAGTTTATTGGCTGAGTGGAAAATAGAACCCAGGTCTCCTGAGTCTGGTGCCAGCTCTGAACGCTAGATCATATCCTCTTCCTAGAATATATTTCCTGGAAAGCCTTGGTACAGCACGAACAGGTGTTATAACACTCTGCTGGCTTCAGAATGGCAGCAACCGAGCATACTGGGTAGGTGTGAATGAACGGCTGTTTTCCCAGCACATGGGGGCATGGGCTAAGTAAGGAGGCCGTTTGATTTTTAGTTCCCCGCTTCAAAGTTTTTGAATAAATGAGAGCTCACATGGCATCAACCTACCAATACAAGTATGGAGGGTGTTAACTTCTCAATGAGGCCGGCCTCACTGTAAAAAGATTGAAGGAAATTATTTCATAAATGTGCTGTTTTTATTTCCCAGGGAAGATCCACTCCTGTGTCAGTCCTGACAAACAGTGGGGAATGTGTTGACTTCAAGTGACACACACGTTTTGAAGGTCATACCATTCTGGCAGTATGATCAGCTGATGCAAGGAATCTAATGACCTGTTTTTCATTTCAAAAGGCTGCAGCTGACAGACTTCCTAGAAGGGAAACCTGTGTGACAGATGATCACAAACACTGGCAACCTGTTTACTGCCCAAAGGGTTACTCAATCATCAGTGATCCACTCACAGGTACGATGCAAATGAAATGATGTGTCCCCCTCTTGCGCATCTGAGAACTCACAGGTTCAGTCACACCGTCACTTTTCCTCTGAGATCAGCCTCTCCACTATAGGCCTGGGAGCAAGTTAACTGGAGACTGGCTGTACAGCTTCTAGAAATCCATTATGGCGTTATAAGGATGTGGCCAATCACCACCTAGCTTGTGTGTTTTTCCCCTTTGCCCTCCCTTCCCTCTTTTTGCTGTGTCTTGAAGAGCATAAGCGACTGCATTCTTTTATGCCTGTACAGCAACTAGACTGTTGGAAGCTCTACTTGTAACTAATATGACTAGGGTGGAGGATAGCTGAAGTGTGGTGCACGGCACATGGTGCAGAGATGGAATTTTGGCCAGGGATTCCTAGGCATAGTTCCAGTGTTTTGACATGTAGCATAGGAGTATTAATGTCCATGCCGAGCAGACACCCTCCTGTCCACCAGTGAGCTGCAGCACCTTCAGTTTATCTACGTAAGGAGAATGAAGGGATGAGCTGACCCAGCTGCTGCTAGAGGCCTCAATCCAGAAAAAGGGCTCCAAGCATGTCCTTAATTTTAACTACATGAGCAGTCTAACTCGGGTCATGTGCTCTGTGTTTAGCACGTGCCTCAGTATTTTCCTGGACTCCATGTGTTTCCAGGGAGTCCAGGTATGTCAGCCTTGATGCTTAGACTTCCAAGTTATCCCCTCTGCCCAAGAACAGCAAAATCTACTTCTTTCATACCGCCTTCCTCTTCTTAGACCCACTCTCCCTTAGTTTAATCAATGACTAAATGCTGAAACCAGAATTCTGTTGTGTGATGATAAAGAGCATGACCAGACGAACTCTTTGGAGTTTGCTTTCCTTTGGGTTTTCATGCTACAAAATAGCATTTGGACACAAATCAGACATCACGAATTAAAACATTAAAAAACCAGTCGGAGAACACTTCAACCTCCCTGGTCACTCAATTACAGACCTAAAAGTCGCAATACTCCAACAAAAAAACTTCAAAAACAGACTCCAACGAGAAACTTCTGAATTGGAATTAATTTGCAAACTGGACACCATTAAATTAGGCTTGAATAAAGACTGGGAGTGGATGAGTCATTACACAAAGTAAAACTATTTCGCCATGCTAATTTTCCCCCCTACTGTTACTCACACCTGTCAACTGTTGGAAATGGGCCATCCTGATTATCACTACAAAAGTTTTTTTTCTCCTGCTGATAATAGCCCACCTTAATTGATTAGTCTCGTTATAGTTGGTATGGCAACACCCATTTTTTCATGTTCTCTCTGTGTGTGTGTGTGTGTGTGTATATATATATATATATCTTCCTACTGTCTTTTCCACTGCATGCATCTGATGAAATGGGTTTTAGCCCACGAAAGTTTATGCCCAAATAAATGTGTTAGTCTCTAAGGTGCCACAAGGACTCCTCGGTTTTTTTGCTGATACAGAGTAACACGGCTGCTACTCTGAAATTTGGATCTCAGTAACAGTTGTGTCTTCACTGCAGTGAGGCCATGGAGGGAGATGAAACAGCATCGAGCCACCCCTCAGAGGACAGCAGCATACTGGACCTTCCCTCTGCTTATGATATAACAGACAGCTTCCTGCTTGAACACAACACTGGGACCAGTGACGAGCCTTGTAGTTCTGTGGATACTTTTGCCTCATCAGCATGCTTAGGTAAAGACTAAACAATGAATGTAAATATTCCTGTTCTCTCTCTCTCTCACTCACACTCACACACACACACTTCCTTTAGACATAGACCTGTTGGGTCAATATTTATTGCTTCAGGCAGAGTGTTGTTTGAATGAGCAGCAAACAGCTTGCTGAAGTTCGATGCAAGTGCATCTGTCTTAGTGCAAAGTGTGGCTTATTGGAAGTGCACTATGATTCTGTGCTTCCTAGTAAATACAAAGTGCGCTATGGATTGCCAATACATGTGAGAGCAGTCGAGAGGGTTGCTGCTTTCTGGTGTCACTGTGCTCATGGAGGAGGGAGTTACCTGAGGCCAACCCACAGAAACCATCCTAAAGCACTCATAGGCATGAGGAAAAACATTGCTTTGTACAATTACAACAAGCAAGGAAACATCTACTCTGCAAATCCTTCTACCTTCCTTTCCCCCATCTGCAACATGTGTCCTCATTAAACCGGTGCAGAACAAGTGTTCTGTTTATAAAAGGTTATAGAAACAGGCAACTGAAAGGCTGGGTGTGCTGCATTCCTTGTGGATTAGTAATAAGCTTGCTGTAGGATCTGATTATGCTCAGCAACTAGGAGCCAATGGTTAACTTTCTTGCCTTGTTTTGTTTCTTAGAGAGGGGGGATTTCTGCAAAAATGGTCAAGAAACTAAGCTTTGGGCCAGTTCCCACTTTCTAAGCTGCACTGTTGTATTTATCCACAAGGGAGCTGAATTGAGATTGTATCAACAACTTTAATTCTGGTATTTTTCTAATTTTTGAACATGTGACTTTACAACCTGAAAGTTCATTTAATGTAACTGTTATGGATGTGATATGTATACAGGTATTGTTCTGCTTGTACTTTCTGAGAGCGACTCTGGCCAGTTTCCACTACCTTTGTGTGTTTTGTAAGGATGAATTATTCTACAGTGGTCGGAGTGCCTTTGAGAGGGTGCATTAAAATACAATACTAATATAGTTATCGTAGGTGTCACTAGGTGGCTCTGTTACACACAGTCTTCCAAGTTCTTAATAGGGGTGCAAATGTTCAGTCATGAGAAGACAGGCTATGTGGTGGTCTTGGTTTTGGTTATACAAGATTATGGGATTGGAGCTATGTGAGCAGCAGGAGAATTTGCTCTCTGCCTGGGGCTCTGATTACCGTTAGCTCTTGAAGCCTCGTTGAAAATTTTCTGTCAAAGCTGTTTTTCAATGGGAAATTGGGTTTTGACCTAAATTAAATTTTCAGCAAAAAGTGTCGGCTTTCCACAGAAAATTTAGACTTTTTTCATAAAAAAACCCCCCAAATATCCAAAATCCAAAAAATTTTGATTTTGGCTGGAAATTTTTATTTTGAAATAAAGCCGTTGTGCCTTAATGGGAGTTGGTTGTACTTTTTGGGTATGTAATGTCCCATTTGCCTCTATGTGCCAAGCTCCCCAAGGGACTAAATGTCTCATGATGCACTGTGGCTATGTGATTGCTGTGATGCACTGTGGTATCTCAGTGAGAAGGGAGAATGTGGTGCATCATGGGAGATGTAGTCCAGCCAGGGAGCCCAGCCCATAAAGAAGAATGGTGTTATGAGGTACCTGAATTACAACTGCCATGAGGCAGCATGGCAACATTTCTGAATCAAAAATTTCAGTTTTCTCTTTATTATTTGGCTGAGAACTTTTGGTTTTCAGTTTTCTTGCTGAAAAGTTGGAATTTTCCACAGGGGAAAAAACCAACAAACCCATTTTTTGACCCGCATAGACTATCCCCAGATTCGCCTCACTGATTTCTCCACCACTGCGAAGCCAACTTGCCAGCCCTTGTCAGTTGCCATGTTGCGGCGGAAGGGGAGCACTGATGTTAGAACAAGATGCTGGTGTCAGAAGAATGGGCAGTAATATGTTACATCATGTGATCCAGCCTGACGTTATTTTGTGAGGGGAAGTTTGTGACGGGGGAATCACTTTACTTGTGAACTAAGTGGTGCTACTGTGTTGTTTGCTACTTTTAAATATTTCCAGTTAAAATAATTTTGTTTGATTTAAGACCCACTAGAACAGTATTCCTTTGTGCGCGGCTTTTGCTGCTGCTGTCATCATCAGCAGGAGTGACACATGGGGCAAAGCTGGATATGTTTGTATTTAGCCTTCACTCCTTTCTGGAATTTTAAATCCAAACTGCATTGAACCCACCACTTGCATCACCTATTCAGTCCTGATGCACCGAGGGTTACGAAGGCTTGTGGCAGTTGCATTAAAAAGCCTGGATTAAAATAAAACTAGGTGAGGTTGGGAAGTCATTTGCAAAGAGGTTTGCAAATACCTTTTTAAAAGAAAAAAAATATTTCTTCTGTTTGCAGGCAAAGCTAGCAAAATCCCTGTGAAATTTCTGTTCACTTTGGAGATTTAAATAGTTAAAAGGAGGTGTTTAACTCCTCTTCCTCGTGTTCCTGACACAAGATACTTGCTTAAGGGCTGAGCAGACTACCAGGGATGGTAACGTTTAGACATCAGCACCCTACTGATCGCTCACTATATTGCAGAGACAGAGGATAAGCACCCAATGAACCTAGCCTAGCAGGGGTGTTACTAGTTTATGAGGCCTGGGCAGTTTCCTTCAGTTTCCAGTCTGATAATTCCAGGATTGTGTCTCAAGTAAAATAGCATTCATCTGTGCTAGGGATTCCAGCCATTGCTATGTTTTGTCTGTTGACAGTAGGAGCACTGGAGGAGGCTACGTGACCTAGTGGTTATAGTAGATTTGGCCAATCGATATTTCTGTTCTAATTTGAGCCTTGATTAACTTCAGATCTTGGTAATGGTAAAGTGTCCACTTGTGCGTCATAGTGTCATGATGTATTTCCTTGTTGCTAGTGAAAATATGCCAAATGAATCTCTCTCTCGGCTTTAGTAGAGGAATTGCTCTGATAATGTGATAGGCTGGGGTTGGTTTGTTTTAGACAGTGTGTGTCACAGGTTTTCTGTAAGCCTTTATAGGTGTATCCACAAGTGCTGGGATTTGTGGGCAATCCCTGTGATGGGTGTGTGTATCATGAGCTATTTGCTCAGGTCCTATTCTTCTCCAACAAGGGTTGGTGCTATTTGAGTTAATTGTGTTGGTGATTAATGTTGGGGTGTAGGAGGTGATTACTCTGCAGTCCCGAGACTGGTTTGAGGAGCATGGAGTTTACAGCTAATCAGCCAGCCATGACACATGAAAAGACAAACTGCTCAAACGTGAAACTTCATGTTGTGTTTTTCGGCAGTAGAGGCCAGATCCTGCATCTTTGTTCACGAACAACACCCGCTGACTTCCGTGGGCGCTTTGGGTTTCGCAGAGAATGAAAGATCAGGCCCCAGATTCTTCCTCTTCTTCTTTTATTCACATGATAATTGCACCTAGAAGCCCTGACTAGAGCCGAAGCTGTGATGGACACTGACTACACATAATAAGACAGCCCTGATCCGAAGAACTTGCAATCTAAACAAATACTTATTTGAGTGTCGTTTTCTATACAATTGCGTCTATATAAAACAATGCTGCTCCAAATATCTGAGTGCCTGCTGTATGGAACAGCATCAACATTTTACATGCACATTCACCTGTGCACATCTATAAAATCATTAACGTTTTAAAAGGAGACGTCTGCTTTCTAATCTAGGTTGTTTAAGCTTACATAAGTCCTTTGTAAGTCAGCACTGCAAAAAAACAACCCGCAGCAGCAAGTCTCAGAGCCCGAGTCAACTGACTTGAGCACTATAGGTTTGCAGTACAACGGGGCTAAAAATAGCAGTACAGATGTTCCCGCTCAGCCTGGAGCCCAGGCTCTGAGACCAACCCCCACTCGCCGGGTTTCATAGCCTGGGGTCCAGCCCAAGCAGGAACGTCTACACTGCTATTTTCAGCCCTGAATCGGGGTTTGTTTGGTTGGTTTTTTTGCAACGTAGTCGTACCCTCAATCATCTTGGCTGCAGAAAACATAACTGCACTGAAAACCAAACCCTACATCTAAGGGGAACTTTCTTAGAGAATTAAATCATACCAAAGAATCTTAGAGTTACAATCCTAGCTCTTGTTTCCTCCTCTCATGAAATAGTGAAAAGTGTTCCAGTGACTTATTATTATTTATTTGTATTGCAGTGGCACCTAGGGGCCCCAGTCATGGACTATGACCCCACTGTGTTAGGTGCTGTACAAACACAGAACAAAAAGATGGTCCCTGCCCCAGTGAGCTTACCATCTAAGTATGAGACAAGAGACAACAGATGGATACAGACAGAGAAAGGGGGGAGCGGAAGGGAACAATGAGAGCATATTGGTCAGCATGATAAGCGGTGGTAGCACGCCAGCTTGTAAGATTGAAGTTCAGAGCAGCGATTTGTTCTAACCTGTACTATAAAGCGTTTCGACTTGGAGATCGGCTCCTATGGTTTAGGCAGTGGGAATGACAGATAATTTTTCGAACTCTGTTTTAAATGCCATTTGTAGTTTGACAAGGACAGTGGTCTCGCTTGCTCCAATGTTAATTTTTCGGCACACAGAAGTACAGCCAGCAGGAGTCACTGTCTCTCAGACATAACAACTTTTCTTAGTGGAGATGTAGATGGAGACAAAGTAATATTTTTCTGGCATTCCTCCTGTCCTGGATTGATATTGACCAGAAAGCATGTCATTCAGCCTTCAGGCATCCCGAATAAATATTTATGTATCCTTAGTGTAACCTAGGAACAAATCAAAGTGTGTATAACAGAGGGAGGATATATCATTTTGTTGGAAGGGAAATGTTGCATCATAGCAGTTGGGTAACTCCATTAGACTGTTGAATCAACAAAACAGTGCTCCCAGTCACATGGAAATGCTAATAAACACTAAACGTACGGACGAATTAGTGATTTATGATTCTTTAGCAAGTGAGCGTTCTCCTGCTGTAACAAAGATACAGCATATCCAGCAGTAAACTGAATTTTGTAATGAAGTTAAAGGGACATTGGTAGGTC